TTCTATTAGCTTAGTCTTAAATAGATGAGTAATTACGGGTGAGTTCTTGATATTTGACAACTTTCATATTAAAATGTTTAAACCCACTCATTAGTTATGAGCTCATTCGTTTTTCCTCTCTATTTTTAGACCTTACCTGATGATGAGGATTTGATCCTCGAAACCGGTCGTAATAAAATACTCTTGTGAGATTCTAAGGACCACCTTTGTTTGATTTACCTTTTTGAACTTATAACTCACACATGGCTACCACCTTCAACTTTAATTATTATTTATACATTCGAATAGATTTGGTAAGGGTCCTCTATAAAATAGATAACTATTTTCTAAACCATTGTCTTTGTTTCAGATTACAATGCCTGATGTAAATTTATTATTTCATTCATTAAGTATCTTTAGCAGTCGATGCCGATGACACCAAATAAAAAAAAAACTACAATAAAAACAAAGAATTGCAGATCAATCGTTGTAAACCAGAAGATAAACATTTAACCGAATGTCCGGCAACATTTTACACCAAATACTTATAAAAGGTAATTATACTTTATCGAACTAAAAATACATTTTAAAAATATTATTTTTTAGGTTTCCTTCGACATTCTAGGAATTTTAGAAGCAAAAGTAAATACTACAGAAGTGTAAAGAAGAATATAACACCTGAAGTTTTATAAAAAGTGAATCTATAGGTACATGATATGTCAGGTATATCAGAATTCAAGCAGTTCATTCTCTTCAACAGGCTAGATTGCCTGGAAATGCAACCATCGGTTCAAGTGAAAACCCAGCAGAAAAGTTGAGAGAAATCATAGATGATACTCTCGAGTATAATAGAATATCTTGCTAAAAAACACCAGTTGTTTTTTATAAAATCTACATATCGATGGCTCAATCAAATACTGCCACAACTAAAATACTATTATTTCGAGAAATTTCATTTTGAAATTTTGTAAGTCTCTATTATCATTATTTTGTTTTTGACATACTCTTTATATTTTATTTAAAAGCTTCGATATTTTGCTGTTAAATAAAATCATTACGATTATAAAAGTGAGTTGTTGCATAGTTGTAAAAAATTTGGGTGTTTTTGAAGAAAATAACTCGAATTGAGGCAGTTTTAGACACAGTTTGTGGCTACATTTTAAATGATTTATCTTTAAGGATATTTTTGTTTGTGGTGGTATTTAAAGTAAAACCGTAATGATATTTTGCATCCATTGAACCAAAAATGTAATTGCTTTGTTTTTTGACTTGTGGCGGTTTTTGATTGAGCCATCGATATATCTACTTTGGAAATCAAGCATAAAATTTGTAAAATTCAAACAAATTTCAATACACTAACATTGGTTGTTTTATTTAAAACAACAAAGTAAGGCATATTTTTTAATTTCTATATAATTTCCTTTAATTAATAATAGGTAAACAAGTTATCAATTTCTTTTTTATTCAATGTATTGAGAAGTAAAATCTTTTTATATAAAAATATAATTTATACTCTTCTAATAAATTGTCATATTTAGGTTACATTATAGCACTTTATAAATATCTATGCAAAAAAAGTTAAAAGGCTTGATTTAAAAAAGATATATCTCTGCGTCTTAGGTAAGAAATCAGCGAACTTAGCTATTCTCTAGTAATCTAATATAATAATATGTACCTAGTCATTGTTGTTTTCGTTTATTATTTTTCACCAATCTAGCTTTATCATCGTTCACCATTTAAGGTTTTAGTGAACCTTTGCAATATTGGTATCTTATTATACTATTTAGCTAATTTTGTCCAATCGTTCAGTGCTTTCTAGGTAGCTTCTTCTATCCCATATGTGTACTTGTGTTTGTGATATAAGGTGTGTTCTTTTATTCAATAATTGTTCCATCAGTGATTGATGTAATTTATCTATTCTGCAGTCGTTTTATATTTGAACTCTTATATTTTAGGTTAACTTAAATGATTGATTATCCTCACCATTCGTCTATCACATATCCATCGGCTTTTAAAGCCGATGGATGCCTTAGCTCATTGGTGAATTCACCGCTGGAAAAAAGAATGATTGACACATACAATCGTCTTTCCATCACTTAATTTACGAACGGTTTGCTGCAAGCGCTGGATACAGCATTGAATAAAAGAACACACCTACACCTACCTCTACTTTTGTGCTATTGGTACTTGATTTCAAGAACATTTTAATAATAAATTTATATAAATATTTTGTTTTATTTGAAATTTTCATGTCTCGATTGAGATTTTACTATAGCCTCAATTTCAGCCTCTCTGTATTACATTACACAATGTGTGTCCACGGGTGGACTTAATTATACTTGTAAAAATATTTATTTTAAATTAAAGAAAAAGTTATTTTTCATAATTTCTCAATGTGAATCGAATTTATTTAACAAGCAAGAAATTATGAAGAATTACTTTTTTAATTTAAAATAAATATTTTCACAAGTATAGTTAAGCCCATCCGTGGACACACTGTATAATGCTGTAGATCTAATTCACATTATAACATCAATTGAACGTTTCAGAGCAACTTTCGGGGTGAGTACCGTAAAAGTGCTAGTGTGATGTTTTTCGAACTTCACTTTGTAACTTCTGTGAGATGTGCTATAAAAGTCTTGCCGTTGCGGACATTCGGTAGTTGCAGGGAGATAAGGGTTACATTTACAGTACATTGCATGCGAGCTTAAAGAGCATAAATTGCAGCTTATTAACGTAGATGGGATGTTTTTGTGCTAGCTGGGAAGGAATTAATAACCAGTAATACGGCAAGTTAACATTGACACATATCGACGCGTTTAAGGCAAAACGGCACAAGCGCCATTTAGTAAATTGTTCAGGAGGGAAAGAAAACCTGCCAATTATAAAACTTTAAACATTAAAAGACCGAAAGAAAATTCCCTACATCGTGATTTTTTTTATATTCATTTTGGTAAAAATTTTGAGTGGGTATTCAAACAAATAACAATGCAATTAAAAAAAAAGGTAATTTTGTCGCTTATGCCAAATCGTTTTATGTAGACGGTGTTTATGCCATTAAGGTACTGGCGTTTGTGTCAATCAGTTTAATAATTAATTGCACTAAATGGCGGTTAAGTGGATATATGCCAAAACAAAATTAAAGAGTACTATGTTGATTTTTGGCGTTAATGCCAACATAAACTAACACTAAAAAAATATTGAAAACACTTTTATTAGGAATAGAACTTAAAACATGGTACAAAACACTACCCACATTAAAAAATATTAAGGAAAAGAAACAACAGATAAACATATAAAAAGATATTAAAAAATAAATGAAAATTCTGTAATCTATTGATCTTCCTCATCTTCAACATCGGTTTCCATAAGGACATCTCGAACAGAAGCTAGGTGTTTAAGCGGTAAGTATTCAATATGGTATTGCGGTTTTATTGTATTCTTTTCGCATAAAGATTTTAAATTTTCATATTTTAAGAAAGAAATTGGTAATTCATTCTGGTAGGCCTGTTTTGGGAAACCAGGCTTTAATTTAAAATTTATTACGTCGCTTTCTACCGGATTAATAAAACTGTACTGAATTCTAATATTATAGTCGTTTTTAAAAAACTGGACTTTTCTTATTTGTGCCATTTTTAGCCTAACAGCCTTTACAGGATTTAAACTTTTAAAATCTAAAAAATCAGAGAACTTTTGTTTTACAACAATGTACGGTTCTGGATGAATTCTAGCATTTCGCACTATTGTTGGCCATTCAGAAGGAGCTTCAACAATTCGGTGTTTTACAAATTTTTCTATTACAGCGTGAATTGAATCTACTGGCATGTAGGTATGTCCCGTTATTAGGTAAGTCAGATTAATTTCTTCGACATAGTTACAATTGTCTAAAAAATACCTCAGCATTGCAAATATATATTTATTTTTGTTTTGCCCACTACAGTTGTCACAATACATTGATATTTTCTTATAGGATTTAGCCTCGTCCACTTCTTTTAAATAGTGTAGTAGATTAGTACAGATTTCATTACTGCCTCTCTTCGCATCTTTCTCCTCCCATAGGTAACAAATGCCTTTTCTAGATGTGGTTTCATAAACAGAAAAATTGTATACAGCGTATTTTCTTGAAAAACCTAGCAAAAAATTATCTCCATGAGGAGTTGCTAATACTTTCTGTAGATCAAAGCTTATTACTAAATATGTTTTGTCTTCTCTTGAATCTTTCTGATCTTTTAAAAATACTTGTTTTATTGCTTCCTTTTCTTCGATGTGTTTGTTATAAATTTCTGTTTCAGTCTCACTTTTCATTGCTTCTGGGAAATTTTTATACCTTTCACACTTCTGACATTTATCTTTACGTGGAACATGTATGCCTATGTTATACAAGGTTTTAAACAGCTGCAGAAATTTACCTTTTTTTAAAAATGTATTGTTATCCTGTTCTTGAGAAAATACATACATTCTGTACAGATTGTTAAGACTCCTAACATCAGATGGTAAATAAACGCGGGAAGAAGAACCTCTACAATAATGTGACGGAACAACAGGTAAGGAGTTAACAAAATCTTTAAACTTAGCAATAAGATCATCGCTAATCTTATTTCGTGGTGCATGCTTGCCTCGCAAATCAGGTTCTGGAAATTTAGAACATTTTTTATTTTCTAAAACGGTTCTTAAAAGTCTTACTGTAACACTTAGGGTTTGAAGTAAAAATTGTTTACATACACGTCTACGAACATTATCCTTTAGTAAAAAATACTCTACCGTTACATTCCTTTTTTTAACACCTGCAGACTTTCGCCGTCTTTTAACAGGACATGCAGAAATACAATCACTTAAAAACCTTTTTTGCTTATGGCTACAACCCAACTTCCAAAAAAAATTAAACAAAAATTGGCGGTCATGCTCTGTAAATGCATTACATTCATTTTTACACGTTTTTGTATTTAAACAAGGATTTGCCTTTAGGCGTTTACCTGAAATTAAATTTCCTGAGGAATTGATATACTGAAGACCTGTATCTCTCAGTTTTTTCCTTTCCGCTTTTTTGTTTTTCTTTTTTTTTTCTTTAAAGTGAAATTTTGTTCTTGGTTCTTTTCATCACTGTTTTCGTCCGAATGTTCATTACCGTAATGCACATTTTGATGTTTAATAATATTCTTGGTTTTTCTTTTCCGGCTGTCAGAAGTTTCGTTTTTATTTTCATCAGTGCCTACCTCTTCCTGGTTGGGAATGTATTCCTGATCGTCGTCCGCATCGGAGCTTTCTAATTCGTCATTTTCATGGACAACCATGTCGACGCTGTTTAGTTCTTCAGATGTAGTATGCAAATTTTCCTCGTCAAATGGTATTGTGACTTCCATAGTATTTATCGTAATTGGGTATAGATTTTCTTCATCGAGAGGCTGTGATTTGCTGATGCTTAAGATTTCAATATCATTTGTCTCAATATTTATTAACGTTTTCAGTGTTTGGTCCAAGGAGTGAGTTTCGTTTTCCAATTCGTAGGGTAAGGAGATTTCATTTGTTTCGGGATTTATCGGAACAATTTGCGGAATATTTTCCATTACGATTTTAAAACCTTCCTCAACATCAGCCTTGTTATTACAAAATTTTAGTACAATACTATTAGAGTCGCCTTGATAAACGTAAAGAAAAAAAAAATGAAATCAATAATTGTATTAATCACGGTCGCAGCAAAAGTTTATTATTGAACTGTCTATTCGGTTGAGCTAAAAATGTAACTTGCTATTTCGTTCGGAAGTATTAATTTGGTCGTAGCAAAAATTAACTGTTAAATTATCTAATCGGTATTTACGTTCAAATGTAATTGAATGCTTCGGCAAAGCAAAATTTCATATGCGGTTGCAGACAATGCGAGGAGACAGGTTCGGGACAGTACTAATTCCAGGGCTGAAACCGTGACTCTATGAGAAGTTTACTTAAACTAGTGGTTGGAAAGTAAAACCAACTAACAACCGGGATAGTACATTATCTCTGAATGAAGTGATCGTAATCACAAACCGCTTCAGACTGGGGAATGATACTATTTAAGTTCAATTAAAATAACGGGGTCTTACGTAAAATAAACTAATAACCGGGATAGCACGTTACCTCGGAATGAAGTAATCGTAATCACGAGCCGCTTCAGACAGGGAATGATACTATTTAAATTCTCTTAAAATTTGCGGTTCAGAGGATAAAACAAAAGAAAATGTCTCGTCGCAATTCTACTAAGATAACCAATCAAAACATTAGACAATTCCCAAACAGTTTCGACCAATTATTTATTGGTTAAAGTTTTTAATAAACTAAAATGAAATTTACGATTTGTCCACGGAAGTTTACAGTAGTAGGAAAAATTAACTATATAACTATAATTACGATCGAATGAAAAATAAATTATTAAACAGCAAAAACCTTAAATAAACTAAAATGAAATTTATGATTTGTCCACGGAAATTTTCAGTAGTAGGAAAAATTAACTATACGACTATATTTACGATCGAATTAAGAAAATAAATTATTTAACAGTTAAAACGTTAAATAAACTAAAATGAAATGTATGATTTGTTCACGGAAATTTTTAGTACTAGGAAAAATTAACTATACAACTATATTTACGATCGAATGAAAAATAAATTATTTAACAGCTAAAACTTTAAACAAACAAAAATGAAATTTTAAAAGAACGGTGTATTCTAACAAGAATAAATTAAAGTATTTCCTAATCAATACAAATTTCAATTCTTAACTTAACACGGAATATTGTTAATTAAAAATAAATCAAATTAAATCGGTTTCCAATAGCACGGCTTAAAGTCTCGAGCGAGAAAAAAAAAATATAAAAACAATGACAACAATTTACCTATCGTCAAGATCGCGGCTAGAAATGAATTTCGGTTTTGATTGTATCGGAAACGTATCGGAGTAATCTAATTATTCGCCTATTCAATATCACGGTATAAAAGCAAGTCAACTGTTCGATAAATCGGTGTATTAGGAACTAAAAATTTTAATTCAATCTCGGACCTCGTTCAGTCGTCGAGAACCCTTCCACTACCAGTGACCCCACTATCGGAAGTACTACCCCGCATCGATATATCGATCGGCAATGCGCATCTGTCTAAGATCAGAACCAACAGTTCAATCGCGTTTAATATTTATTAAAAATGGAAAATTAAAATAAACTGATTGAGGAAAAATTAACTTCATTACACAGTATAGCAGTCACATTTTTCACAAATTTTGGTTATGATGTTCAATTTTCTTTACTTTGATTATCAAAGAAAAACGTTTAAGTTAAATAATTTCTTAGAGGCATCAAAGGGCTGTTATTGAAACGGCATGCTAGAATGAATGTTGAAGTATGAATGCAAGTTCGTCGCCGGGTATAGAAAATGTCCGAAAAATATGGGGTATTATGTAAATATTCAATACGGGAAAAAGCAGGACCGTAGAAGGAGGAGAAGGCAAAAAAAGCTTATATAGGTGAGTTTTTATTGTTGTTTTCTTCTATTGGTGTATCATTAATGTATATATAAGTTCTAGTAGTAAAAATTTAGAGAATTATCGTTAAATCGAAATGAATACAGCTTATAGATGGCGACACCGTATTTTGGTCTAAAACCGTTTCTTTTAAGCCAGGTGACCTTAAGATTCAAATCTGTTTATCTCACTAAACTTTACACCAGTGCAAGTGGAACGCTACAAAATTCTGTTGACCTAATCAAAAATGACACAGCAATACGATTGTTTACAGGCACATTAAAGAATGCGCATTAAAGAATATTTGGAAAAAGTTAAATATATGTCATTGGTTATCGATATTAATTATCAGCACTGCACTGGTTTACAGTATTTTTGTAATTGCACAGCCACACAAAAAAAAAATCGGGTCTGGGAATCAGACCGTGTTTTCTATATGTTTCTGGAGTTGCTGAATTCGAATCCGAGGTCCATTTTCCCTATCTTTACAGGCTTTTGCCATAACCTCAAAATACCCAATATTTAAGGCTTTTCAGCACTTTTTCACGCATATAAGCCTGTGACTCAAACTTTAAACACAAACGCCAAGCTGATAACTCCAAATCCTTAACCTTATAACCCTATAAACTAATAACCCCATAATGCAATAGCCAGATAACCTTAAATAACGCTATAATTTACAGCCACACAAAAAAAATTAGATCTGGGGATAAGACCATGTTTTCTATATGTTTTTTGGGTGGCTGGATTCGAATCTGGGGTCCGTTTAAAGTCAATGTTTTGCCATAATCTTAAAAACACAATAACACAGGCTTTCCCGCACTTTTTAATGCATGTAAGTCTGTAACTCAAACTTTAAACACAAAAGCCATGCTGTTAACTCCAAGCCCATAACCATAAACTCATAACCCCTTAATGCAAGCCCATAACCATAAACTCATAACCCCTTAATGCAATAAACCCATAACCTTAAAAAGACGCTAAAATTAAGGCTTTTTTAACCCTATTGAACGCATATTACATTAATACTTAATTATTGTATTTTTTGAGGGTATAGCAAAACACTGACATGATAGGGTTAAGCAAACCCGGATTCGAATTCAGCGACGCCAAAAACTTATAGAAAACACACAGAAAAAAATATCAGTTACATTCAAGAGAAGCTTTACACTTGGAAGATTACATTTGAAATGAAGCAGAGTTTGCTTCAAATAATATTTCTCGATACAATAAGAAAATAAATGTTAAATATAGTATAGGCATAATCTTGTATTTTAAGAGTTATAATAATAAATCTTAAAAATAAATTATTTCATTCAAGTATAGAATTGTGAATTAATCCAAGAAATCTCTTACGTCTATTATAAGTATGATATGCTCTTAAAACCGGCTATTGCGTACTTGATTCAATGTTATAAAAGGATTCGATTCAAAGCATTTAAATTTCAGAACACTGCACTGATATGGTAGATATATGACTGGCACATGTTGGGATGTGATACTTATTATTCGGAAGTCAGAGACACAACGCATTTATAGAGAATCTGGCAAATTGGCATTAGCACGTGTTTGTCCTATTGTCCATTTTCTAACATGTTTGCATCGTATCGTTAGGGTTGCGTTTTAGTTTTTGTTAGAAATTCTTTGTGATTTAATTAATAAGTGTATAAATAAATTAAATTGAAGTGGAACATTTGTTAAATGAATGGGGCCTCAGCGACCTGATACCAATATTTAAATGTAAGTATATTTAGTTCACTTCTTGTTAGGTATTATTATATATAAGTAAATTTAAAATCATAATAACACGAAACAGACTGGGATAGAAGTAAAAAAAATGTATGATGCTGGATGACGACTTTTTGAAAAGACGACTTCTGCCTTGCTAAGAAGACGTATCTACGAAAATTCTGATTTCAAGATTCTTACAAATTTAATAAGCTTACATTTTATTTTATTATAACACAAAATAATAAAGGCCTATTTGCATTAGAAAATATTTACTATAATTATAAGAAAAGGTTATTAAAATATGCAAAACTTATTTGCGAAGTCCAAAAGGACGTACTTATCTACCTACCCACATTTACTAAACTCTTACGTTCCATTTATGTTCCATTTAGGTTTTGAAGTTATAAAATTATTTTTTTTTTAATTATAGGTGGGACACCTCAGAGGACCGAGGAATTTGGTATATTAACTAAAAACAATTATTAAAAAATGTTTTTCGGTGGAGAGTGTGCACGGTCTAATCCCCCAGACCCGAATTTTTTTTGTGTGGCTTTGTTATTTAGAAATTATCCCCGATCTGAGTATAAATATTATGACAATATAAGTGAATGATAATCCGTATAAGAATAGCTTATAAACTTTATAAGCTAGTTTTATTATCAGTACATCCGAAATTAGCCTCAGGTAAGAAATTATAATACCTGCTATAAGAATTTTTTACACCTCTCATAGAGTAGTTCACTTATTTTTATGTGAACGATTGTATAATAATAATAATAAAACGATTTCACTGTCAATAAGTAATGCATTGGTAACCTTTAACACACCGTGTTGTATTATGTCTACCCAGCTAGCACATAACGTTACCAAGCCTTTCGGCGATGTTGTCTTAAGGGAACATAATAACATACCCATACAACGTAATTGCAACGATAATGAGAAGTTGTTGAGGGAAATCAAAACCTCGCGAAACATCTATTTGTTACTTACGTATTTAACCTGCCTGTTATGATAACACAACGTAATTAAGTACCTTGCTAAAAAAGTTTCCACGAGAAGTACTATGGACTTTCGAACGTAGCCATTCGTTTGTCATAACCAACAAAACATAAAAAAATGTCACTTGTCACTTTTTCTTGTACGTATTTGAGATTTTAAAGAAATTGGAAACTATACGTTTGAATAAGTTTGGTAAGTTGTTTTCTTCTTTTCAATAAATTTTTTAATTTTCTAATTTATTGTCTGTTGTTTAAGATGGTAAAATTTCAATTTCCAAATACAATAAAAAATAAATCATTTTAAACAAGTAGATACAATTAAATTATGAAATATTTATTTTACACCATAATAGGGATCTTATTGATGCCTTAATACTATAGAAGTAACGATATTAAACAATGAAAGTATCGATATTTAGGCACTGAATTACCAATACTATCGCCATAGTGATACTTAGAAGCAAGTATTGTATCGCTATGTGTGTGGTCAGAGATTATAAGGTTTGTTCAAATATTTGTACTGAAATATTTTAGTTTTAGCATATGGTGAAACTTGGTAATATGATTAAGCGTTACTACTGTTTTTTTGTTATTTAATTATAAGGTAAATTGCCAGTTATTGACTCTATAACTTGTACCAGGTAGAGTACCAGTAGAGAAATAAAAGGTGTCGACTACAGAATATACTTTACTGATGCACTCTTGTTATTAGTTAAGTTCCCTACTCCGCCCTGTTGAATGGGGGTTGCCAGCCGTTTAACAAAAATCTTTTACTTTTTCGTTACTTTGTTACTCGAGACTTATAAATATCAATATCTTTAACATAATATCGAACAGTATCGATGCCTCTACCACAAAGTATCTCACATGATACCGGTATTGATACCTTTGACCGATACTCAACCCTACTCCCAATTATAAAAATACAAAAACAGAGAAGTCATATACTGCCATCCTAACAAGAGAAGTCCTATCTGAAAATTTATATTTATTATCTTTTAAACCTTTTTTTGTGTAACTTTTTAACATTTTAGTACCTTTGTTGCAAATAAGACATTTTTTTTCAGTATCGAGAAAGATAAAATGTAGACAAATGTACATAAAAAAACCTGCTAATTTTGCAGATAAAACCTTTCTTGCTAGAACAGCAGTATAGAAGTGCTCATGTAGTTTACTATAGATAAATAACATTTAAATTTGTTACGTTTCAGTAAATTAAGTATTACCATTGCTGGACAGTAGTGACGTTTTGGTGGATAAATACAGCATTTCACTGGATATATATACCTATGCCATTTTGCTGTACGTTTGCTGCACAATACCAATTGCTGGACAAACTTTAAAAATGCTTTACAATACAGAAAAATTGCTGTAAGTATGGTCGCCCTAGTGTAATAATATTTTAATCACTAAAAATAAATTTAAAAAATATTGTGTTTTAGGTTTCCTTTGTGCTGGATTATAATTCTAGTAAAAATCTCAGGAATTTTAGAAGCTAAAGTAAATACAGAATTGGTTGAAGAAGAATATATAATATCTGAGATTATTTCTTTTTCTTTCGTAGCAGAATATCTTGCTAAAAAACATTGTTCTGTATAAGTTGAACATCCATTATTAAGTATCAAATTTGTAAAAGTCAAAATAAATGTTATTATTTATTTAAAAAAACAAAGTAAGTAAAAATCAACTAAAAATAGGGGCAACGATTTAAACGAGCATATTTTTTATTTTCTTTATATATATATATATTATTTTCTTAATAATAATTAAACAAGTATATTTATTATCTACAAAGTTATTTTTACGGAAGAAACTATGTAATTAAGTTCACATATTTATTTGTTTACAGTATGCTACGGATACATAAAGTTCTAAATGGTTAAAATATCAAAATAAAATAAAAAAGAAATTAATAAAATTGTCACAGTATAAAAATGAAGTCAATAGTGTAATAAAAGTTGACACTTTAAAAAATAAACCTTTTAAAATGTCATTATTTGAAAAATACTTATTGTAATTGGACATCAGTTGGTCTACAAATAAATTCTGTCCATAGTTAGTTCTATGAGCATTTACATAAAATAGTTTCATATGCCTAGTAAGTCTGGCAGGAACAAGGAATCTAATAAAGTGTACCAGGCTGTCACTATCAATCAAACCGTTCAATAACTTATACAGGAAAACAAATGATGCTTCTCGATATCTGCATTCCAAACTCTTATAGGTCCCTCTCAAAAATAACATCAAGATCATTTATAGTTTGCTCAAAACTTAGTTCAGAACCTGCAATGACAATCATGCATAATGATATTAGCTGTTTTATTAAACCTTATGACTTTGCATTTATCAATATTCAGTTTAAGCAAGTTATATCATATTAAAACTATGATTAGTACCAGTTATAGGCAAATATCTTTTTTTAGCATCCTACAACTGCCATCTTAATAAAAATCTAGTGACCTTTGAAATATACCTAATATAAATACACTTTTTACTACTTTTGTACAATCGTGCACCATTTTAGCTACCAGTGAACCTTTGCAATATAGGTACCTTATTATACTTTTTCGTGCAAGCGTTCAGTGTTTTCGATTCTAGTGAACCTTTGAGATATTCCTTATATACCCTTTATACCAACTTTTGTCCAATTTGTCTGTGTTTTTTTTTACCTATATTATTAATACCTATCTTTACTTGTATAATATTGGTTCTTGATTTCAAAAGCTTTTAAATAATAAATTTATACAATTTTTTATTTTGTTTTCTTCAGATTTTACTATATCCTCAATATACTATTTTGAATATAGTGTATCCAAGGATGGACATAACTATATTTGTAAAGATATTTATTTTAAATTTTTCAAGAGGTCTTTTTCATAATTTCTCAACGTTAATCGTATTTATTTAACAAGCAAAAGAAATTATGAAGAAGTACTTTTAAATTTAAAATAAATATTTTTATAAGTATTGTTAAGTCCATCCGTGGACACACTGTATAATGCTGTAGAATGAATTCACATTATAACATCTATAGAAAGTTTCAGAGCAACTTTCGGGGTAAGTACCGTAAAAGTGCTAGTGTGACGTTTTCCGAACTTTAATTTTGTAACCTCTGTGAGATGTGCTATAAAAGTCTTGCCGTTGCGGACATTCGGTGGTTGCAGGGATGATAGGGTTACATTAACAGTACATTGCATGCGAGCTTAAAGAGCCTAAAATTGCAGCTTATTAACGTAGATGGGATGTTTTTGTGCTAGCTGGGTATAGTCCATATACTAACGGTTATGGAAGGTTCTAGCAATTCTTGTTCCATATCAGCAACAGCTCGTTTTTCTGTCCCATATAGTATACAACAGTTAAATAAAGAGTACGAGAATTCTGGTAATGATTAGACCGCATTTATTTCAGTGTAGATCGAAGATTTCATTCTAGAGTTATCGTGCGAGCGCACATACGTACAAATGACCTGACTTTTTTATTTTTTAATTTTTGGATTTGAAGACGAATAGGTAAGTTCAAATCACTTACGGGACAGATTTTTAAATTTTTTCAATAAATTTGGAGATTCAAAAATCGTTTATAGTATCTCTGACAGGTAATTTAAAAAAATTAATTTAATATATAAAAATAAAAGTTTGGTAATTATTGGGCGCGAAATAATCGAACCTAGTTATTCATTACAACATTTAACGAAATACTCGGGCAGGCGTTTCATAATATGCTTGTAAGAGACGGTCGAAATTTAAAGTATATAAGCTTGGTAACCCAAGCTAAATATATTATTAGTGTTGTGCATTTAATCGTTCAAACATTTTATTGAATATCTACAATGAAGGCCGTAAGTAAAATCAAAGAAATCATTATTTTATAAATAACGAAAATCAATGTAAACATATATTATGTATATTTATTTCGATTTTTGATTTTATTAACTATTTTTTATTAAGTACAAAAATATTTGAAAATAATCTTATTTTTTTTAGAGTCTATTAATGGTTTGTGTTGCCTTTGGCTTTGCTTGTGCTGGTCACGGACATGTAAGTATTATTAACCTAATTATACTGGATCTCTTACAATATCCTGTATCCCAGCAACCAAATTGATGTTACACGTCGGTTAAAAGTAAATTTAATAACATCAGTAGTAAACCCAAAATTTTACCAAAGATACTACATCCTCACGAAAAGGCATGTTCTTCTGTGGTTTTCTTTTATTTTAAATAATTTTCAGTTCTGTATCTTAACCTAATTGTATATATGTTAAGTAAATATTCTAACTACCAGATGCCATTGTTGATTTCCTTAGTTTTAATAAAAACTTAAGGTATTTACTTTTGATTAGTCTATTAAGTTAAAATAGTAATGTGAAAAAAAACTTTTAGCATTTATGTAGAAAGCTTTGATAATTAGGGAGATAATATTGTGACGATTACAAATATACAATAATTAAATAGCAATTAAAATGAAAAACATATTTTGGTCGAGTTAAAAAAGTAGAAGATTTAATCAAAGTTAGTATTAACTCGTTCTTTTTTGATAGGACAACGCTCACTACCAATTTGAGTATGGAGTTCATGACCCTCATACCCACGATCACAAATCCCAACATGAACACAGACATGGTCACGATGTCCATGGAGGGTACACCGTGAAAGAAGCTGATGGTACTCACAGAGTTGTTAAATACAAATCTTCTCCCCACAACGGCTTCGAAGCTGTTGTTGAAAGAAGAGGTCATGCTCAACATCCCGCCCATTATGGACATGGACACGGTCACGGTGGTCATGGTGGACAAGGGGGAACCAGCTATGTTGGTGTTACTCACTGGGCCAACCAAGGAAGTGAGGAAGGTCATGGACACCATTAAAAAAATAATTTTATAATTTTTGTTTTTGTTGTTATGTGCTGGTTTTGATACTGAGATATTTAAATACAAATGCTTACAAAAAATTGTTTAATTTTTAAACTTTATTGGTTTTCAATAATCTTTAAATTCGAACTACCCAGTTGGATATCTGGTTAATATACAGAGTAGGTCACTGTAAGTACAAAATGATATTTCAGTCAAGAAAATAGACGAGCTGAAATTTTAAGTGGAACAATATTTTTAATTTCTACATACACTTCTTTTAACACAACAACGCATGCCCTAGTAACCAATAACTAATAACCCCCCCACACTACAATTGGATGTCATAGTCAATATGAATTTTATAAAAACGAAAAACCAGTGAGTGAGAACAAATAAAAAATCACAATTAAGGCTGTTTTCGCGGTAAACTATTTTAGCATTATCCATGTATCTTAGTTTTTTATCATCAGTATAATTTCATTTTTTGCTGAAGTATTGAAAAGAAACACCCTAATAATCTCTAGTCTTTTAATTTTTTTGATACACATTTTTAAATAAAAATAAAAATGAATATTAAATTTTATCAATTTGCAGATATCAATTTTTGGAAAACTGCAGTTTGTAGCGGATTGTTTTCTCTTTACAAGTTTTTGCTAAAATCAACAACTAATTGAGCTTTCTAGTAAACCGTTCTCCAACAGTATTTTTATTTCGAACTCGCTTTTTTGATTGTAAAAATTTAGTTAAATATATTTTTTATTATTTTTTACGTGTTGTGTAACTTAAATATAAAAGAAAAGTCGTGCAGTTACTGGCAAAAGGTTATTATTTTTTTTTAACTAAGTTAGTGGCACTGGATATAAACCAACAGGCCAGTCAATTGTCAGGTGAACAAATAAAAATATCATATAACAAACTTTATTATTTTACAAATTATATTAAAGTTGCTCTACCTTAATAACTAAAATAACCTGAACTTAATATGGTTTAAATGTTTTGTTTATTTTTGTTTTTTTTTTATTTTTGTTATTTTTTATTTTTATTTTTATTTTTTTTTTTTTTTATTTTAGGTTAGACTATTTTTATTATACATTTTATTAAAAAAAAATTAATTTGATTGATATGCGAATATGATTTTTATTGATTAATTTCCAAATTACATCGGAATTTATGAATATTTTGAGAAATATCCCGAGTCGAAAACAATGGACAATTTTCAAAATATTCCTAAGAACAGATTATATTAATTTTTAATTTATTGGAAATATTATAAAAGAAACCATTATTATTTTCAGAATTTCAAATCCTAATGTACTAACACCACACAATTTTTTTTCAACAATACTCAGCACATAATGAGTAAGTTGGTAAGTAAAAGTATCTTTGAAGCAGTAAGAAAATGGTCTAGTTGCAGTGATTGTTGACGATGCATGGCCTAAGCGGTCATATAAAGTTAATTATAACGCTTTATCTGGAGTTGTAAATTTATGTTTTGATATTATAACGTGTGATCCAAAACCAATGTTTCTAAAGTAAGTCATGATCGACAGAATTGTGAAGAATCCGTCATGCCTGTTTTTCCATGGTCTACTTTAGAAACATTTTTATATTTGACATAACATTAAAAGGGTTTATTTTTAAATGTACTGATTTTTATAAGCTTGCATTATTGGGGCGAAAACTGGAAAAATGTTATATGTTTCTTTTAAAAGTGAGTATTGTCCTATCTGTGCTCGAGCTTTAACTAAAAACATAAAAGCTGCAACTCATAAATATTTAAAAAATTGGAATGGTTCGTCGATTTCTATGGAATCAGAACTAATTTTAGAAGGATTCCGTAATAGTATAAAAATGCACAAAATAAATATATAAAAATTATTGGCGATGAAGACAGCATTGCCGAGAACAATGATCCGCAAAGTAGAATACATAAACCATCTTCTCAGGAATTATTACACAAATTTGCGTGATCGTGCGAAAAAAAATATAGTTCAAAAAACAAAATAGTTAGTCCAGGACTAAAAAAAATTTTGTTTGATAGGATTTTGAAGTTACGAGTGGGAATTAAATCGGCTGTAAGTTACCACAGAAAAAATACCAGTAATATTGTTGACAACGTGAAGCAATTAACTGCAGACATTAAAAACTCTCCTTACCACACATTTGAAAATCATTCAAACTGTGCACAATATTTTTGTAAAAAGAACAAAACGACAGAGATTATGTGACAGAAATGGAAGAATACGGACTAATGGACGACATTGTATCTGCTGGTAATAAATAGGCTGGTTCAAACCAGCCACAGTTTATTATTAAAGATGACTAATAATGCTGCAGAGACATATAATTCAATCGTAGCCAAATTTTTTTACGAAGGAGAATTAATTTTGCAGTAAAAGGAGGATTTTATGTTCGGTGTACCACTGCAGCCATTTCTTTTAATAAAAAAAAGAACTATATTCCCACTCTTTATAAAAATCTGTCAAAAAGTGTTCCTGGGATTCACACACAAAGATTGGTTACAGGCCTATTTTGCCCATTTTATATGATAAATTAATACTTTTGAAACTCAACAAGAAGAAAATCCAATTAACTTTTTGGTTATATTTTCCTAAAGGTATGTCCTTACCATAAGTTTTAAATTTCACATTTTTTACCATATACGGGAATATCAAAAAATAGAAATTGGGGCAGTTACTTATTTTTAAAAATATGGAAACTTTTTATATGGAATCAGAGCCACCTATCTCAAGAAACAAAATTGATATGTAATAAGTATCGATAGATTTTATTATTTCTTACTCTAAAAGTAACAAACGTTTGTTTTGAAAGTCATTTGTAATAGATAAACCAATACATACATTTGGTAAAATTTACCTTCAGATAGTCTGGAGGTTTTTTCAAGAAGTATTCCATTGGAGAGTGTTACACCTGATAGAAACAATAAATCTCTTTACACACATATATCAACTGGGAACATAAAAATGTTAAAGTGACAGGCCTAAAACCTTGATTAGCGGCAATAATTTCATTGGGGTAATATATTTACATAAAACGCGCTAAGATAAAAAATAAAGTATTAATACTAAAATTTTCCACAAAAACGACCCCATCTCAAGCAACTTATTTTCAGTGATTTAAGTTATCGATTCAGGTTTTATTTTTGTTTTAATAAATTAAAAGTATTCTTTATCGTTAATAACAATTTAATAGATGATAAATACGTTTTTTACATTTTTAATGTCATTTACACCAAATAGCTAGGTATATATTTGTTTTTAAATAATTTGACAATTGAAAAAAGGGAGTAAAAGTGGAATGGCCAGTGGCCAGCAGGTCAATACAATGTATGATATATTTCTATAACTAAAAACAAGTTAAAAACCTTTTTAATATATGCTTTAGAATTAAGTAGTATTATTAAAGAGACGAGGTCTTAAAGTAATGCAATGCAATACATCATGTTTTTTAAACGTCTCCTAGTTCCTGCTAGAATGAAGTCACTTTCTATGAAATGGACACATACGCATTTAAGCGCTGCAAACTTAGTGCCAACTCTTTAACAAGTGAGATGCACTACTACAGGGGATATACTTAACATCGGACAACGAGTTCGATATATAAAAGCTTTTTGAACGAGAAAGTTCTATGTTCCATATACAAAACCAACATTCTTTGTACCGCATGTGTAATTAATAAAAACACGTCGTTTTCTTCTCAAACGCTCAAGTTATTTCTACAAGAAGTAGCCAATTTTCCTCACACCAGCGACTTGTACATACAAGACACTTATATAAAAAAAATATTGGAAATAAAACCAGTATTTTTTTAAAGTCTAATAAATTACAATAAAACATTTTCATTTTAATAATTTTGCTGTTGCTTGAAGCGTTTCTGTGAAATAATAATATTAATTTTCTTCTTTTCATATTTCTAGCAACATTAATAAATATTTTTAATAATGAATGTAATAATGGTTGGAATCGTTTTTTCCCATAATCATAATATTTATAAAAACATCAAAATTAAATAATTATCGATTGACACAACACACAAATTCTTGATTGAAAGATGACACATACAGTGCTGTCGCATTGCCATTTTCTTGTTCATTAGTTGTCGTTTTCTAAAACAATGAAAATATAAATATGATGAAAGTTTAAATATAAATAATACTTTTAAAAACATTTGATATTTTATATTTACAAGATATTTGTTTAACGATATTTTAGAAGTCTAAAAGTGCACACAAACGAACGTATATTACTTCTCGTATACAGTCTAACTGGTAACGTCGTATGGCTAGTTCCTATTGGTCTATTCCCGGCTACGTCATAAATTTTAAAAAATTAATAACTCAGGCAAATGAATAAATAGAAGAAAAATTTTAAATGTAGTTTTATTTTAAACTGTGTTATTCGTTAAGTATAAGGGGTTAAGAAAAGGTCCTTTATTTCTCACACGTCAATTTTAATTGGCGACCGGTTTCGAAGCTATTGCTTCATCATCAGGCACACCTAAATGGAATGTCAAGGAGTCAGTAGTAATAAAAACAATTATAAAAGTATGAACGGACATTAACATAAAGTATAAGAAAAAACACAGAAGAAAATTAAACAATGACCTTGACTCACCTTGACTATTTCCATAAAGGAAGTGCTACATAAAGTTTAACAAAACGAGTTAAAAAAGTCAGAAAAGTCATGTAAGACAATTATTAACTAAACAACACAAAATAGTTTTTACAAGCAAAAACAGTTAAAAAAAATTTAAAGAATAGATGTTAATTACAAAATGAAAAGTAAAGAGTAAAAAGTAAAAAGTAAAAATTATCAGACTCCCATGACATCAGAACTAAATATTAAACATAATGTAAAAATTGAAAACTATTCAAAATTAATTGCCTTCTTAAAACGAAAAGGTGATAATTACAAACCGAAGAAGTCAAACGTTTTTTCTAAACAGGAGTTTGATAACTTTCTTAAGAGATATTTAGCAACTAAGGTAGGTACATAATTTGTTTAAATTGTTATTTAGTTTTACAGATGTTTTATTAATTTCAGCTTTTTTATTTTAATTATTTTTATCCATACTTTTATTTAAATGCTTGAAGAAAAAATAGTATATGTCACTCGGATTAGAAGGCCCATTATATGTTTCGCCCAGTTTGCACATAATATACTATTTATTGCCTAGACACTAAAAGTATTATTTCTATGATCGAGAAATATCTCTAAAGTTACATTTAATATTAATTAGAGAAAAACATATTTTGAATCTTCACCTTTTTCATTCTAATGTAAAAATCAGGTATGAGCTACATTCTGGAGGTCGTTAAATCTGGTGAAAAATCATTGTTACTTCACGTAAGCTCCACATTTATTTTACCTATAACTTTTACTTATTGAATGAAAAACATTCAAATAAAATCATTAAAAAAAAACTAAATCATTTATTTAACATTTAAGAATGACAACAATATAGAAAATATGTCTGTGGTTTCAGGGTCTATGTACATGTCATCTATTGAAATATTGGCATCCAGTGTCCATGTTACAGTGCATAGAATAAGCTCCAAACAAATGCATTGTATTTTAAAACTTTGATATTTAAAGCACGAAAGATAAATCGAAAATTTTAAAAGTCAATAGGGTTATTGGCTTGAATAAATGATGTAGCCAAAATCAAAACAGTAAGTAGATTAGAGATTTTATTCTAGAGTTATCGTTCAAATGATCAGAATTTTTTTTTATTTTTGAATTTTTAGATTTAAAAACGAACAGGTAGATTCGAATCACTCACGGGACAGATTTTCAAATTTTATCAATAAATTTCAAGATTCAAAAATCGTTTATAGTATCTCGTAGAGGTAATTTAAAAAAAAATAATAATATATTAAAAATAAAATATAGTTTGGAAATTATTGGGCGCGAAATAATCGAACCTAGTTATTCATTACAAAATTTAACGAAATACTCGGGCAGGCATTTCATAATATGCTTGTAAGAGACGGTCGAAATTTAACGTATATAAGCTTGGTAACCCAAGCTAAATATATTATTAGAGTTGTGCATTTAATCGTTCAAACATTTTATTGAATATCTACAATGAAGGCCGTAAGTAAAATCAAAGAAACCATTGTTTTTTAATTAACGAAAATTAATGTAAACATTATATTATGTATATTTATTTCGATTTTTGATTTTATTAACTATTTTTTATCTAGTACAAAAATATTTGACATTATCTTATTTTTTTTTAGAGTCTATTAATGGTTTGTGTTGCCTTTGGCTTTGCTTGTGCTGGTCATGGACATGTGAGTATTATTAACTTAATTTTACTGGATCTTTAACAATACCCTACATACTAGTAACCAAACTGATGTTACAGGGTTGAAATTAAAATAAATAACTTTAGCAGTATACCCAAAATTAAATCCTCACGCATAGGCGTGCTCTTCTGTGGTTTTATTTTATTTTAGAAAATTTTCAGTTTTTTACCTTAACCCATTTAGGCGTTTTCGGAAACTTACTCGGATCAGAAAGATTGCAGATCTTATTGTTCGTTTACCTAGGGTTACTGATCTTATCCGTTTTCGGAAACTAGTAGATTGCTGGTCCAGTTTTGTGATCGAGATCAATATTTCGTGATCCTCTCTGCGAGTAGATTAGTAGATTTTATGGAGGAATGACAGTATAACCCATCTTTTTGGTATCTGGTATATCTGACAGTAGTAGTTTCGAAGTTTTCTTTTAAGATTAATATTAATTTAGTTTCTTAAACTTGTAATGCTGATGCAAGAGGATAAACACTTCTTCACCCCCTAAAATCATACTTGTTATAGGGAATAAGTTATTTAAAATAAATATTAAAATGTCACGCGGATAAAGTCAAAAATTGATCGTTGATAAACATGATCAATAATCCAACTCGTTCGTAAATTCTCCGCATTAAGTTCAGTGGTCCGCGTGATCCATCGGATAAACCCAGTAATCCGGATTTGCCATCTATAGTAGGTTTCCGAAAACGCCTTATGTATATATTTTAATTAAATATTCTAACTAACAGATGTCATTGTTGATTTGCTTACCAACAAGTTTTAATAAAAACTCAAGGTATTTTCTTTTGATTAGTCTATTATTATTATTAAGGAGATAATATTGTAACGATTATAAATATACAATAATTCAATAGCAATTAAAATGAAAAACATAATTTGGTCGAGTTAAAAAGGTATAAGATTTAATTAAAGTTAGTATTAACTCGTTCTTTTTTGGTAGGATAACGCTCACTACCAATTTGAATATGGAGTTCATGACCCTCATACCCATGATCACAAATCCCAACATGAACACAGACATGGTCACGATGTCCATGGAGGGTACACCGTGAAAGAAGCTGATGGTACTCACAGAGTTGTTAAATACAAATCTTCTCCCCACAACGGCTTCGAAGCTGTTGTTGAAAGAAGAGGTCATGCTCAGCATCCCGCCCATTATGGACATGGAAATGGTCATGGACACGGTCACGGCGGCCATGGTGGACAAGGAGGAACCAGCTACGTTGGTGTTACTCACTGGGCTAACCAAGGAAGTGAGGAAGGTCATGGTCACCATTAAGCATATGTTATTATAATTTTTGTTTCTGTTGTTATGTGCTGGTTTTGATACTGAGATATTTATATAAATGCTTACAAAAATAATTGTTTAATTTTTAAACTTAATTGGTTCTCAGTAATTAGTAAATTCTAGCTACCTAGTTAGATATTTGGTTAATGTACAGAGTGGGCCACTGTAAGTACAAAATGACATTTCAGTTAAGAAAATAGACCATTCGAAATTTTAAATGAAACATTATTTTTTTTTTTTAATTAAACATACACTTCTTTTAACACAACAACGGCCTTCATAGGCAGACCATATCCCAAAAGAACTGGAGAACTACTCTTAATGAATAGGAACCAGTTGAAAGTAATAACAGGGTTCATGACTGGACACGCCCCAGTAAAGGGACACTTGAACAAAATTGGCATGTACAATGGGGAACTCATGTGCCGACTATGTCACAAGAAACCAGAAACGGCCAAACACATACTGTGCGAATTCGAAGCTCTAGATCGCAAAAGACAGGCTCTTTTTGGACAACCCCAGGTTGATCCAACAACGTATAGAACCCACTCACTCAAGGATCTGTACAAACTTGTACAAGGTACAAAGGTGATAGAGTGGGTGCTATGAACTAACATGGGGCAAAACACAATAAGCCAATAGGCTTCAGTGTTATTCGGAGACACATAGTCAGTCGAGCCCAGGAGAGAAAAAAAAAACACAACAACGCACACCGTAGTAATCAATAACCCTACAACACTTCAATGTCATGGTCAATATGAATTTTATAAAAACGAAAAATCAGTGGGTGAGAACAATTAAAAAACTACAGTTAATTGAGCCAAAAAGTAACACGAAAATAAAGAGGTGATAAGAATTTATTTGCAAGCTGAAGCAACGATGAGGGAGATCATTAAGTGGGACAAAAATACACAGTCGCTTAGTAATAAAATTGATCCCATCACTTTTTCTTCCAGCTTCATAATTGTGCGCTTGCGTATTTTTTGGGGCAACACCTCTCTTTGTGCATATATACAATGTGTACATAAAATATGGAATAAATTCATTTTAAACAAACGATTTTGAGGAAAAATCCTACTACAGGTCGATTTTTCATTTAAATTTAATGTATTTTTAAATAAAAATGAAACATACATGGCATAAATGGCACCCCTTATATTTTTTTTTAGAACATAAATTTCAAGACGATTCCAAAAATATATCACACTTGTGTTCGATAAATTAATACCGAAATTCCATTGGGTATCATTATTTTAAGAAATTTTCAGATGCAAAAAGTTGTGGAGATAAGATATGAACTCAAAAAGAGGTGTGTGCTATGTTTAATAATACATATCCAGATCAACCTATAAGTCAGTCAGCAGTAAGCAAAATTAAAAAAAAAAGAATATTGATACCTACTGTAGAAGTCCTATCTAAATCAGAGTGCCCAGTACTTGCCGATAGATGATAATAAATTAAACATTCTATTGGCCATGGAAAAAAAATCCACACAACAGCGTTCGAAAAATTAGTCGAGAACATGATGTTCCTTTTAGTACTATTTATAAAGTATTAAAACATAAAAGTGACATCCGTTTAATGTGCACCTTGTACAAGAACTCTAAGATGACGACCCAGATCGTAGAATGGAATTTAGCGAAATTTTGATAGATAAGTGTAATTAATAATGATTCACTTTTCGCAAAAAATATAATTTTTTCTGATGAATGCACATTTACATTAAACGGTATAGTGGAATTGAGCTAAGGAAAATCCTAAATGGATGAGAGAACATCACACTCAATATCCACTGAAAATTAATGTTTGGGGTGGAATTATTCGAAATAAAATCACTGGACTCTATTTTTTTGATGGAAGTGTAAACGGGCCAACTTATCTGCATTTTTTAATAAACCATTTGATTCCAACTTCACTGAATTTATTCCCTAGTTAAAACATTCACCGAAATATCGATGAAATTATGTGATATCAACATAATAGGGCGCTGCCATATTATGCAGCCGCCGCGCCGTTCGAATATATCTTGACGAAGTTTTTCCAAATAAGTGAATCGGTAGACGATGATCCATTGAGTAGCCACGAAGGTTACCGGAACTTACGCCATAAAATTTTTTTTGTGGGGTCATCCCAAAAATGTTGTGTATAAAAGTAAACCCGACCATATAAATGATTTAAAAGATAGAATCAGGCAAGAAATAAATAACATTTCGCAGGAAACCATTAACAAAGTTCAGCAGGAATTTATTAATCGCTTAGGACACTGTCAAGCATAAAAAGGAATACTTACTGTAATTTACTGTGTGGCAATTTATTGTTACTGTTGTATTATTTTGTTATTTTAGTTTAATTAAAGGTCTTTAAAAATCCAGATTTAAAAATTATTAGTGCTATTTAAAAAATGGTTTACCCCGTATATTTCATTATTATGCAAAAATACAATAAATTTAAATCAAAAATCGACCTGTCTCAGCATTTTTTCTCAAAATTGTTTGTTAAGCTTTAAATGAATTTATGCCATACTTTATGTACACAGTATGTATACATAGGCGCCGAATCCCCGAGGCTCTGGGTACGCAAGCACCCAGAGCAGTTTTAAACAGGATGAGGAGCACCCATAGCACAACGAGGACAAAAAGTGTAAATAAGTGAAATGAAGAAGCTGTCGTGGCTCAAGTATATAGGTATAGCGACAGATGCCTCAATAAAACATTATCGTTCAGACCTGTATTTTTTCTGATAAAAAAGTCGCCGTAACTTGCCATAGACAATGAGTTAAACTTGGACTTAAGGTTATTATTCTTGGTGTATAAAACCCTATGACGTCAAAAAAGAAAGATTAATAACGGTCTACAATTATCAATACAAGATCTTTGTACATATGCCATTGAGCAAATGCTTGAGGGGAAAAGGGAGAATATTTGAAAGTTACTCCCGATCAAGCACCGTTAGAAAAGATCATTCATTTAGAGTTAGAAACAGCTGTCTAGTATTGCTGGAGAGAAACCAGGTCTACTTAAAAACGCGTGGACATGTCAATTTTGTTTTTTAGGAGGAAACATTGTTTTGTCAGTTTAGCCCCCTGAGCGAAAAACCTCTATCGGGAGTGAGACTCACCAGTTATATCATAAATGGAAAGATTGGTCGAATGATATGTTATTTTGAAGGTATTTTTACCATCGCTACTATGTATGTAGCCCATACAGTGGCTCACCAAAAGTACAAAACCAGTTTACCATAATTTTTACATTGTTATTAAAAAAAAAGGAATTCTTTGTAACAATTTTACTTTTATTCCTGTGGCTTTCAATTATTGTTATCAAATGACATTTTTTGGTCGCCGTAAAGTAGTAAGGTTTAGTTTATTTCGTTGTAGAGTTAGCATAAAAGTGGCATATCAGTTAATGGTTTACTCTATTGCAGAAAGGGTGCAAATAATTTCACTTTTTTTGCGAACAATGAGTGTGATAATAGAACTGCCTAACTGTTTGAGAATCAACATCAAAATCGAAACTATATTTTGTAGTTAGTTCAAACATTTTGAAAAACGTCACAACTGTCATTAGGTATTGGTCCGATTCAAATCTCAGAATATTTCATGAAGTGCATACGCATCCAGAAAAACTGAATGTTTAGGCTGGCATTTTTATTAATCGTATAATGGACCACTTTTTTTACCAGAAACTTTAACCGCAGAAATGTATCTGGAATTATTAGAAAACAATATTTATCCAGCATTACTAGAGTTGATTGAAAATGACGATCAGTACATAGCAAACAACTTAATATTTCACAATGACAGTGCGCCACTGTACGTCAGTATTTGGATCAAACGTTTCCAGGTTTCCAGGATCGGAAGAAGAGGAAGTATTGAGTGGCCCCCACAGTCTCCGGATCTAAGCGCGTTGGATTTTTTATGGGGCCACTTAAAAACTAAAATTTATGTCACCCAGCCAACATCACTGGAACATCTGCGACAACGGATAATTGATGAATATCATCAAATCACCCCAAAGATGCTTTAAAATGTCCGAGAGCATTTAGAACAAAACCTCTATTATTGCATGGAGGCCCAGGGTTAGCATTTCTAGCATTTACTCAAGTAACTGGTAGGCTTTTACACAAACTAGAAATCGTTAAAAATCATGGCTAGGAAGACAGTAGCGATTTAAAACTTAGGGGTTATAATCTATGTAAAAATACCTTTAAAATACCAGTAGTTGCTGCACCGAACATATAGGGTTGTCAGATATTCCTTTTTAGGTGGAAGCCTCCAGCCTATCCAGCAATTGGACAGTTGACAATACCTTTTTTTTTAAGAAAATTTTCATCAAATCAACTTTATAATAGCTTTTTAAAAAACAGGTGGTGCCTTTAAGTGAGGTGTGGAGGGTGGGGGAAGGATAGCCCCCATTTTTTGCATAGAAGACGAGAACTCAAAGCGATTTTTGAATTCCGGCGCCTATGTATGTATAGATATTTTCATAATATAGTTGGGGGTAGGGATATTTTTTCTCTTTCGCAACAACAAAAGGACATCTGCAACGACAACCCAGACACACACACACACACACACACACACACACACACACACACACACACACACACACACACACACACACACACACACACACACACACACACATACACACACACACACACACACACACACACACACACACACACACACACACACACACACACACATCATCGCAAAAAAAGTCAAAACGGATTCAGGGGACCTCAAAACGTAAAAATCCGTCGAAAACTCGAGGTCGAAAAAAATCATGATTCCTATACTTTCCTTATATCTGTATACAGATAGGAAAGTAAAAATTTGAAGAATGTTTTAATCTGACTTTAATTTTTAAAGTGATTGGAGCATGTCGCCACGTCAAGGTTACATTCTTAGAGAAGGAAAACAGGAACAATACCATGTTCCTTTCCAAAATAACCACGTAAACCAACAGATAGGTTGTTACGTTTAGTAACGTAAAAATATAACCAAAATGGAAAATCATATCTAATCCGAATATAATCTTCACTTGACGTGTCAGGTTTATAATGCAAGAATGGGCGGGCCTGAAATATTCGATGGCAATTTTTAATTTTGGTAACATGGAGAACGCAATTGAAATATAATGCTGTTATAATATATATAAATTCCGAAAACGCCTTTTGATGGACCTACCTTAAATCCAGGAATTTTTGAGATACGCCCCTTCGTATTGTTAGCGACGAATAGTCAATTAGAATTGTAAATATTTAAATACCGTTAGAATTACATATTTTTCATCACTTTCGAAAGGCCTCCAAAAAGCCACTTTTTTATAAACCAAAAATCCAAACAGTAATGTGAATCCAACACTGGATAAACAAAAATTGTCAGACGATGACACATCCAAGCTTGCCGTCGAACCAATTAGAACATAAGTTGAGCAATATCACAGACTTATGACTGTATATTGTGTTCCACGTTGATTCGGCATTTCTTATGGGCTATCGTGGGCCACTACAAATTTAAAAAAGGGTCGGTTCTCAGTTGAAACAATAGGAAACGCTTAAATTAAGCTGTTTATCAATAATCCAGCACCTTCTGGGCTCACCGTACAGCGATGCTAGGCATAAAATATTTATGCGATACTATCTTCGAGTATATTTGCTCGAAGAGTACTATGTGCTAAACGTACACAGTCGTTTAGCTGTAAGGGAATTGAAAGCATCACTTTTTCTTTGCAGTTTGACAACTGTGTTTTCTAAGTTTGAACCGCAGCGGTGTCTTTGTGAATTATATATATAGATATATTAATAATATTGATATATTTGTGGAAGAGTAAAATTTGTTTGTGCCGCCGACTATACAGATATGTAATTATGAAAAAATCAAAATTTGAGCCAAGCAATATATCCAGCATTTAGCGGGGAACGTGTTTAACAATTTGATATAAAGCACATCTCCAAAACAATTTTAAAGCCACAGAAATTTCTGTAAATACAGGAATCGAAATATTCGTGTGTATACTCGTTCCCTCGATAAATCATGTATAAGTTAAATTTTTCTTTCAGCTGTTTTCACCCTGATTCGTGTTTAGGAATTTATTCCTGAATTTTCTTCTATTTTTATAAAATAAATAACTGTTATAATGAAATACCTAAATAATATCTACTTTAGATATATGTAACCTTTTTTTTACTTTATCAAATACAGGCCCATAACTAGTAAACAGTGTATTGATTTTTAAGTTACCATTCTGTCCTCAATTGCAACCATTTATAATGTTTATGATTTCTAGTATTCCAAAATCAAAAAGATTTCAAAGAAAAATCTATCAACGATAAAATATTTGATAAATTATTCTACCAGAGTTCAACGTTAGTAACATCTGCAAATATGCAAGAATTTATTAAATTCACCTAGGTATCCAATGAACCCAGTTAATCATTACAACATTATAATATTTAACGAATTGTAATGTATTTCAACACATTTTTTTATAGAATAATGAAGTATATAAGCTCAATGGTCTACGACACAAACATACCATTACGCATTTTTAACTGTTTAATTCACATCAAAAAACAATAATGGAGAACGTAAGTAACATTTTTGAAATTGTTTTAATAAGATAGGTTTTCAAAAAATATACTTCTAAAGGAGTTTTTTCTACCATCCCTTTAAAAATAATTTTAAAATAATTTGATTAGAAAAAGGGTTAATGCAATAATCTTCCATCTTATATCCTTAATTAAATTCAACATCAGAAATTATTCTCTTTTTAACTATTTAGATACGATAATATTGTCAGGGGTAATAGATGTAAGTTAAAATTTAAAAAATTTATCAATATTTAGGAGTACCACAAAATTAAATTTTTAAAAAAATATAATGCATATGATTACAACCATATGACATTAATTATAACGTAATTATAACTGACAGATAATGGTTTGTGTCACAGCGATAATAAAACACGGTGGTATTGTTTTAATAAACGAATTCAGTTGAAAGCAGCGTCACATGACATAAGAATTATATTCTCACTTTAGAACAGTAACAATTTTTTTGTATCTGTGGATTTCTATAATCAGAAACATAACAACTTATATTCCTAATTTAAAAAACATTAATTAAGATTTGAGAGACGCTAAAATGGTGGTTCCCACCTTATCGAGACTGATGCCCACAAGGCTAAACTCGTAGCGTAACAAAAACGATTAAACGATTAAAATGATTTAACTTGGAACGAAAGACCGAAAGCCGATAGTTGTATTAGGACGTTGAATTTTTTGGTTTGTGAAGCATTGGTATTAAATAGGTTAAACCATGTGATGATTTCCATAAGCCTTGATTTTTAAAACCATTCTATATCGCCTTTTGATTATGGTTTACAAACTTCTTTGAGCAATTTATCCAATAATAATTTACCTCTTAAGCCTACTCATGTAAAATATTTGGGCTCCTTACTTCGCCTGTTTATATAATATTAATAAAGAACAGAAAGATAAGTATTGCAACTGTTAAAATAAATAAATTGGCTTTCAGTTCAGAATTATGTTCAGTACATGACTGATATTTATTTATAAAATAAAAATGACAGAACCATTGCATTAGATCTATTAGAAAAAAATTAATATAATTCAAAATATCACAAATAAAATACAAGAAGCCAATCTGACTTTCATGTATGGCAAGCCATCACTAAAAGTTCCCAAAATACAATTTTTGTTAAAGGTTTAAAAAATTTAATAGACTGCCTAAAAATATTAAAAAAAAAAAAACAATAAATGTATTCAAAAGTAACCTCAAACGTAAAGTAATTTCCTTAATTTCATTTTACCCGCATTTATTATAAATTATTTCTATTTTGAGATAATGTACTTTTTTTTAAAAAATTACTTGATGTTATAATAATACTACTTACTATGTTTAAATTATTAATAGTTTTGCGACGATAGGTTATAGCAACTTATAGCCACAAAACTATTTTTGGGTTAAAGTAGATCCATAGAGAGCAATGTAATTTACAATAGCCTTCTTTCATCATACAAATAAATGACAACTTTATAATTAAAATAAAAAACAACAAAATACCTCGGTACCAAGGTAAGAAAATTCATTTTTAAATTTTATTAATTGAGAAATGTATGACTAAAAGTTTACTAATTATTATTTACAATTCGCTGGTTGAATATGTAATCCAAAATCGTATAATAAAAATTTTCTACAAAAAAAAAACAGTATTACATCCTTCCTTTGTATATGAACATTATATTATCTATCTTGCTGTACCTTTATGGAAAGCCTGAATTGAGATATACTACAAATTATTTGCAATAAATATCAAAAGAAATATACATAATTAAAATAAAAAACACAACAAAATACCTCGGTATCATAATTGATCCAAATTTGAAATGGGCAATATATCCTGCCTCTCTTTTATATAATAAAAAAGTGCTTAGTATAAGAACATTATATTTTCTGTCTTGCTGTACCTTTATTTATGGAAAGCCTGAATTGAGATATTTATTATTTGCAATAAATATCAAGAAGTATACATTTTTAAATAATTTGACATTTAAGAGCCATTCACACATCACAGTTGACATCTTGATACTTGACAGGCACCGCCAAGCATTATTCTGATTTCTGCCAAATAAAATGGCTGGTTAATTATTCTATGGGGTTGCGACAGAGAGCCAATAAATTTGATGAAGGTGTTTTTATGGCTAGGGGCGAAATAGTAGTACGCTTAAGTTAGCACCACCATGAAAAAGTAATTTTTAAGAAATTGCTTATATATTTTTCATAAATTAGCAGACTTTGCTACTAATTTCAAATAAAAATAGCCTCCAAAATGGCTAAGATTGCAAAGTATGAAGGTCGCAACCCGCCTTAAAAATTTCACCTTTACTATCAACAGCTGTTGTTTGACAGTTCGTTAGAGAATCTTTGCAATTTATGGAATTTTAAGAATGTTAGGAATGTTGACTTGGAAATAATTGAAATTCCTAAAATTGTAACATAAGAAATGCATATGAAGATTTTAAGAAAATTAATTATAAAGTAGTTAGAATAAACCGAAAATTCTAAAAATCAATAGTTAGAAGAAATTATTCAAAAAAATCAAAACCGCAAGTCAATCAGAACTTTCGTTCTAGAGTTACCGTGCCGGCATACATACATACAGACGACCAGACAAAACTTATTTTTGCATGATCGGAAACATGAAAAAAATTTTAAAAAATGGGGGTAAGAAAATTTTTACGTCTACACGAATGCAATACTGACGCACCGTAGGAAGGGCCTTAGTAAAATGTCCACTGGAATTCAATTCCTTCTTATTTTCATTTTTTATAAAGAAATTTAGAGTTTTCAGCTGAAAAATTAAATGACAGTGACAGTAAGACATTAATATTAATTTTACGAGTTTTGTGTAAAAACTCCTGACCTTTCGCATGAAAACTCACCACTCTATCTTTGCAATAACGAGACAAATAACTTTTTTTTATATTGACAATTAGATTGGTTTAGTGTCAATAAAATTTAAGATTTGTTTGTAAATATAGACAAATATTATAAGTTATATTTTTGTGTACTAGTTGATAACCACAATAATTGTTTTTTATGTAATAAAAAGTTCTTGTAAAATTTTTGGTGTTATTGTTGTTCCCAGTTCAAGGAAGATTCTGTCTAGAACCCACGACAGATCGAATTACGATAGCTAGGAGACCCTGTGCAAAACACACACATTTTAAATTATATTTATTTACAATAACTAAAAAATTAGTGAAAATTATTTTGGCAGAATTGTCCATTTAAAATTTAAAAAAATAGTAGTCCGATCTTCCTAGAATTAATACTAAATTTTATATTCATTCAGTAGAATGTAATGCCCTACTTTTAGATTCTGTAGTCTGTGTTTAGAATATATGTATAATATCCGTGTGGGTGTAGAATATTTAGTTGCCGGGCTACTTAACGTTTGGTGGATTTAATAATACTCTCCATAATTCACCCCCTTACGAGTGAATTTTAACCCCAGAAGCTGTGCTTGTCCGGGGAAGGGATATCTATTATTATTTGCCGTGGTGCTCCAGGGCGACTTAAAGATGATTGATGGTGCCATTTGACTACCATCTTCGCAACGATAACGCATGGCAATTTTTATAATCTGGATATTATATCAATAGAAATTTCTGCAAATATGGCATCCATCAAATCCTAAAGAGAACCATGTAAATAAATTCACATGGTTTTCTGTACGATTCAAAGCCGTCTCTGAACCACGAAATTGCTGGAAAATGAATGCGAGCGCGTATAGACAATTATATTTTAACGTGCCCCAACTTGCCTCCGCCTCATGGTAGCAACTTGAAAAATCTGACTGTTTTCATGTTGAAGACCAGCAGTTTCTCTGCCTTTGAATGGTTGGGAGTGTTCAGTTTTATTTGTTGGGATGAACCCCCACGACGTCATTTCTTAAAATTTAACCACATTTTCGGTGTGGTTCTTTTATTTTCTATTATCCAAGCTGCAAGCTATGGTGGAGACTGGGGACTGGTTTGTTGCTGTTCTTTTTAATTTAGTTTAATTTTCATGCTTCGTCTATAGTTTTTGACGAGTAAGTGTTCAAGTTTTTTTTTTTCATTGTTTAGTAATATTTGATTATATTGTTACAGCTCCGTTTTTTTCTCTCTTTGGTAGAGTCTCTGATGATGGCCTAATAGGTTGAAAGGCTTAGACTAATTTTTACAGAGTTTTATTAATAAAACTCAATTTACACACTTTAAATACTCTCGATTCATTTCTTTTTATTTTTATTGTTTTTAAAGTTGCATTATTGATATTAGCGTCAGCACTAAAAAATATCTACCAAATCTTAGGTCTTCATCTTCTATAGTCTTTAAATTCATTTGAAAATAAAATTAAATGCAATTAAACTCCCACCTTAAGGAGTAACGAGCTTCATCAATTTTCTATGAAATATGGCATACCTCACACTTTACCTCGTACTTATTGATATAGCGCCTGTCAGTTACATGCCAAAAATTTTAGAAATAGCAGTTGATGTGAAAAAGATTGAAATTCAACGGGAACAAGAATATGCGAGGTTACCATTTCCTGTACATTAAAAAGCCCACTCAACTATCTAATTGTGAAACTTGCTAAAAGAATTCCATTAAAAGTATTATTGAAGCTTTATTTCATAGGAGAATGCAGAAAATTCAATGCATAAATAGATATGACGTGAAACAAAACAAATCAAATTAACGTAAAGTTGAAAATAATTGCATACCGGCGTGGCACGTTTTATTCACGACGACTACCAAATAATAAAACTTTTTCTGAGTTTTGCAATTACAGATAGTAGTATGGCCGATTTCCAACCACACTAGATGGACATAACGCAGACTGGTAGATAAACAGGTAGATAGATAGGTATAGACAGATATGAATTAGAATTTATAAATTAAAAAAATAATGTTGTTCTAAAACCGGACCTGTACTTACACTTTAAAAGAGTTTAATAATATACACATGTCCTAACAAATATATTTTAATAGTTTCAATAACTTACAATACATTATTT